GTCCATTTAGACAAATTAAACTCGAATATATTTTCATTTCGGCGTAGAACTTTTTATTTATTTATTTATTTTTTTTAGTTTCGTACTTAAATTTATTAGGTAATAAAATTTGCTTAATAAAAGCATATCAACACCCAACTTCTAGATGGTATTGAAAATATAAACTTATTAGGTTATCATTTCGTTTTTTAATGATTTTTTTTCTTTCATAAAGTGTGCAGTATTTTTTGATATTTTATAGAAGGATGATCCTACTTATTCCTGTTTTTATATTAGCTTTGTTCTGAAAAAATTTAACATCGATTTGAAACACAATAACTTTTGCAACAATGACCAAATAAAAAGTATTGTTTTTTAATATAAAGACAAATCAAGAAAGAGGGAAATAAAGTGAGTAAATGATAGAGGAGAGAGGTACTGAGAGAAATGTTAAATAAATTCATGCATTGATTGATAGGTAGAGTAAGTTTCACAAGGGACTTAGCTCCTTGCAAAGTAGGTCAAAATTTTAATTTTGAGAAAAATAATACAGATTCGTTTTAAGTACCCTTTAAAATTCTTAACTACTAAGTTTCTGTAAGAAGGAAATTATGTGATATATACTACAACAGGGGCAACTAAGCCCCCCCCTTTTTTTACGAGGGTTCGCAACAGCAGAAGTTATATCAACCCTCGGGTGTCGGTGTTTTTGAAAAAAAAAACCGCTGGATTCTAACCCGGACCTTTACCTTACAGTGATGAGCGCCGTGTCAACGCCTAAATCGTTGCGGCCACCGATGCCTCCTAAAGACAGTTAATAACAATTGTTACAATGAGAACAATTTGGTGAAAATATTTGTGGAGTTAAAATTTCAATATAAGCCGACGCATATGATTTGAAAAGGTATTTGTTGATTCTGTTAGGTTGGTTGAATTTGGCGAAATTCAAAAACACACAAGCTAGGACTGATGGGTTATAAAAAAACGGCAATGCCTAATTTGTCAAATCTGTAGTGGAATTTTATATGATATGCCGAAACATATTTGGTGAAGATAGTGAGTTGTATAGTAAAGGATATTTGTTAGGATTGTTGGCGGAGGTATTATCTTCATTGGATTGCTGTTGAAATTTATGGAGCTGAAATTTAATTAAAACTGTCGAAGTTTTGGACTTTAGACCGATTAGACCACTGTTGAAGTCCAAGTCTAATTAGTGGAGGTATAATTTTTATTACATTGCTGTTAAAATTGTAGAACTGAGTTATAATTAAAGCTTGAAGTTTTGGACTTTAGACCGATTAGACCACTGTTGAAGTCCAAGTCTAGGTAGTGGATGTATAATCTTTATTAGATTGCTGTTAAAATTGTAGAACTGAGTTTTAATTAAAACTTATAGTTTTGGTCTTTTATTAGAAGAAGAAGAAGATTAGAAAGAAGTACAAGTCTAATTGGAGAGTTGGTGTCCTATATGTGTATACTACGTCGAAACTGTTGGTTGGATATGTTATTATAATGCACATATTTGACGAAATCGGTGGGAGAAGAATTAAAACTTTTGTTAAAAATGAAATAGGTGAAATCTCGGTAGGATTGTAAAAAATACACTCTGTTGAATTTGGGGCATTCTAGTGAAATGACAGTGTTTACTAATGTGTGCTCCAATTTATTTTTAAAAAAAGTGTGTGTGTGTGTTTTTAGAGAGAGGGAGAGAGAGAGAGAGAGAGAGAGAGAGAAAGAGTGAGTGAGAGAGATGAGGGAGGTAGAGATTGATTGATTGAACGATTTAGAAACACACGCAAAGTTAAGACTGACGTATAATTGTAATGTATAATGATGTACAATGTGTGGAAGGGACTGAGTAAGAGAGGAGAGAGGGAGTGAGAGAAATAGTGGATAAATTCATATATGGATTGATAGATAGAGTAAGTTACACAAGGAACTTACGTTTCGATGAAAGTAGTCAAAATTTTTATATTGGAAAAAACAATTTTTTTTTTTGTTGATTTGTTTTAAGTACCCTTTAAAGTTCTTAAATACGAATTTTCATTACATATTGTTTACATAAACGTTATAAATTTAAAAAATTATTTACCATGTATGTAATTATATTTAAAACATCAATTTGTCAAAAAATAATGATGGATTTTTGCATGTACATAACTTTTTAATAAATAAATATTTTTTTTATTAAGAAGGCAAGTTTGATTAAGAAAAACGGATATTTCCAGTCGGCTGGGAAAGAATCTTGATCCTAGGGCTTGATAATTGCTAGATCAGCAGATTACTCCGATTTCTTGCATCTGGTAGTTGCAGTTCGGCTTGCGGCGGACCGTTATCCCGATTTGTAGTTCTTGTTGCTAACGGTTGTCTAACCCGACGAGGATGCAACGTTACGTCGTCTCAGGGCACGTCTCCGGCGTTTTATAAATAAGCCACATCGCGATAGGACGTACTTTCTATCGTTTCAACGTGCAATTTATATCGAAAGTTTAAATTCTTTCCATTTTACTATTTGACTATCACAAAAGACGGGTTGAGTGATACTGACAGACCGTTTCTGTGCAAATTTCCACTTGTCAGGGGTCGGTCCGCGGTCGATGAAGTCCCCCATCGACCGACTTAGCCCGTTTGCCAAGTTAAAAGGATCGGTATTTGATCCCTGTTCCAAAACTGCATTCCTCGGTGTCGTATAACGGTCCTGGCCGTACTACGAACAGGAAATGATTAACTATTCAATCGGAGCCATCCGCCCTTGTCTCAAAGGATTTTCAGTTCTCGGTGGACTGAGATGAAAACAAAGCGTTGACGGTTGTTTGGACGAATGTAAAACAAAAATTATCTTGAGGAGGAAGACAAACTTCCAACGTGGCTAGGAGTCTGTGATTTCAATTTAATAAGGACCAGAACAAAAACTATGGTTTCAATATGCAAAGCTTTGACAAATCTCTTGACGTTTAGCTTTTATCTATTTAATAGTTAATTATATATTTTTAATGGTATTTAACATTAACATGTGCTCGTCAAATTTTCATCATAGAGCTGCTAAATAAAAGACAATTTTACCAAGAAGTGCAGACTCAATTTTTTTTACTTTACCTGAAGTCACATTGATTAGCAGTTTGATTCTGGCCCGCCTATTCTCGCTTTGTTTAGCAGTTCTTTTATTGGCCTTCCCAATTTTTTTATTCTGATAAATCAGTTTAACCGATTGGGACTGTTCATTATCTCTAGCTTGGCGCTACTTTTATTTAAAACCGCTTCATCGCGATCTATCAGTCATTTATCCATTTAGTCATTCTTGTTGACAGTTTTAGCCGCCGATCTTTTTGGTCAGATACTGATTAAATTTCCTTTAACTTCAGGGGCGGCATGACAATAATTTGAAATGTTTCGGGTCAGAAGTAAAATTTGTTCTTGTTCGTCAAAGGTGTAACGATAATCCCGGTTTGTCTATTTTCGCTGTGTTTGACCATTTCTCTTTGTGATAAAAGGATAATGTACTTTCCAAAATATCAGGAACGACTAAAGTGCTGACAAATCACAACTATTCAATCGGAGCCATCCGCCCTTTTCTCAATGGATTTTCTGTTCTAGGTGGAACGGAAATAAACGCATTGTTCAAAATATTTGGATATTAGTTCTCTTTAGAAAAAATCTGCGTATGGCTCACCTGAAATCATTGTATGATTCTTACAAAAATTAAATTTTAGAAAATCCTTTAAAGATATTTTATGAGCCATTAGTTAAACGCTCTGGGTTCGTTTTTTCTTGCTGGTTCAAATTGCTAGTTAAATGGTATCAGTTGTCATGACAAAGTTTGAAATGTTTTGGGTCAGAAGTTGAACATGGATCGTTCTGGTTACTTTGTGAAATTCCGTTATGTTGCCAGCAAGCAATAGTTAACCGATCATTCTAGTCCGCCTATTTTGGTTGTGTTTCACCATTTATCGTTCACCGTTTCGCAGAATGATATCAGGAACGATTAAACTGCTGACAAATCGTAACGATTACAAATACAATTAAAACATTTTTGAATTTTCCAACAAGCAAAATTTCCAGATATGACCTGTTAGTCTTTCTTAGGAAGATCGTTCAAAGTTTTTTTATGGGGCAAAAGTTAATTCTTTGGAGCCGCTTATTCTCGCTGGTATGATACATGATACATTTCAAAACACCTTAAGAGAAAAAGGCATTGTCTTGACAAAATTTGAAATCTTGTAGGTCAGAAGTTATATATGAAAAGTTCTGGTTCGTCAGAGGTTTAATGATCAACTGGTCCGCTTACACTCGCTGTGTTTTATCGTTCATCATTTCGCAGAATGAGAATATAGAAACGATAAAACTGCTATCAAATCATAACGATTACTCGAATACTTCAAAATTATTTGGATCTTTCATCACACTTGCGAAAATTTACAGATGTTCTGGTTGGCCAGTTTGTCAATCACTGGACGTTTCTTACAAAATTTAAATTTCCGACTTTTAAAGATTATTTCATTCAATTTATTTTATGGTTCATGAGTTAAACTTTCTAGAACCGCTTATTTTATTTGGTTTATAAATGGGTACATTTAAAGACACCTGAAGTAAATACGGCATGAGATGTATTGAAAAAATTTGACAGGATTTGGGTCAGAAAGTTTAAACTGAAATGTCCTAGTTATATTGTGAAATTATGTTGTATGCCAGTGAGTCAGAAGTAACCAACCATCCGCCGCAGAAGTCTAAATTATCTGTGAAATTACGTTAATCTTCTCTGAAATTTATTGAACATACATTTTGTACATCTTCTGTATATCTTAGGTCTTAGTCCATTGAATATGTACATAGTTGATACGTTTGCTTTTGAATGAGCCTTGATAATTTTTGGTCCGCTTGTTCTCGCCGTGCCTTTTCATCGTTAAATGATTTGCCTGAGAGAACGGAAATAAGAACATTCTAACAAGTTGTTTTGCTGGTTTAATTTGTTCCTGTTTTGGTTTTTTTATAAATGAAAATAAACACCTATTGGTTTTTTCCAGAATGTACGACCTTCCGGACTGGGGAGTGTTGGATTTCGGAGCGGTTGCCATCTTCGTCCTGCTCATATGGCTCACAGAACTGAGGTGGCACAAGTCCAAGTTTTGCGGTAAGTGCAAATTTATATGGCGATAATGTCTCGTCTGAGGAAGTTCTGCTAAACCTTTCAATCGCGCGATCAAGAGACTCCCAGACTCCAAGAACTTACATACTAAGGCTTGATCAGAGCTATAACTCTTTTGAACAGTGGCCGAATTGATAAAAAAACAGCCATTTTATGTCCTGGATTACCTCATAACATGTTCTTATTTTTAATTATATAAGGTTAAACAAGACTTTACAATATATAGAAAATTAAATGAATTTAAAGATATGCCAGCGTCGTTGTCATCCTATTAGAGAAGAAAAAGACGATACACAGCAATAAATCAATAAATTCCCTCTATCGGTCTAATTAAGGTCAAAAGGTTCAAATTACACATTGAAGGCCAAGGTCGACGAATTAGCAAAATCACTGTTTATAAACAATTTCCATCACGGAGCGTTTACTCTCGTAATCAGTGTAATTATGTAATAGCCATAATAACAATGGTAAATTAATTATATATTACTTATCTCTATAAATTTCTATTAACGAATATTTTTTGGCGTTAAAAGCTGAAAAACAGGGCTAGAAAGTTTTCAAAAAAAAAATTAAACTTGAGGATGAAATTATTTTATAATACAAACAAATAGGTAAACACAATCGGTTTACTTATAAGTTCAAAAAGGCAATAAAATGGTGATATTAACCTGTTTCAGGATGGTTAGTATACATGGAAGTAGTAGGGCTAGTTGGAAAAGCAAATAGGCTAAAAGTCTAGAGCTAGAGGTATTTGCAATATTCAGCAACTCAACTGTTCTTTTCCCGTTCTAATCATTATCAGGAGATTGCTATTGCTCAAGTTATAATGTTATTATTATATATAAAGAGTAGTTTGACGGCTATAGTCACGTTCTTAAGGATATATATCAATTAACCTCCATAAAACTATGAGGGCGTTAAATTAACGTCACAATTATAAAACCATGATAATAATAAAAACAATCTTTGAAACGTAACGAATTATGAAAATTACATCTTAGTTTATCTGATTAAAGCCACATTGTCAAGTAGTTAATAAAAGAAGTGGTTAAAATATTCATTCATTCTAGCAGATTCTTCGTTTTGTCTGGAATTATTTCGCATTTTCGTGTCCTAAAATCCTGGTTCGCCTAGTCTTCTTTCGGCATTTGAAAGCAATCTTCGTTGGACGAACAAGCCAGGTTGATCATAGATGACTGAACTGCTTACAAATCTTTAACAACGCACGCCACTCGGCAAAACTCAAAGGGGCAATCATAGTTGACATTATTAAATAATTAAATATTTAGATGCTGTTTTAATAGCAAAGGTTCGTTAAAATTGAACGACTTTATCACAGGTGATCACCAAGTCATCAAAATCAATCATCAATTATTTTAAAACTTCAGAATTTTCCATAAAAATCAATACGTACATAGAGTAAGGTATCTAGTATTAATATGAATTTAATTCAGGTAATTAATTAATTCAGATCGAATGATTCTAGGTTATATTGAAATCCGTTATAACTTGGTACAATTAAATTACTGTCTTTCTTTTTGGTTTCTTTGTTCCTGAACTTTCTTTCTTCCTTCTTATTTCCTGGATTTATTGGATATCTAGTAATTATCCAATAATTTCTTGTTTATTCTTTTTCTTCCTTATTATCTTTCTTCCCCCTTTTCTTTCAGCTTTGTTCTTCTTACTTTTCTTTTTTCGTTCTTGCTAATCTTTTGTTTCTTTCTAGATTACATTATAGCCTCACCTTCTCTGATCCCACTCTCTTTTCCTTTTCTTTTTCTTGTTATTTTGTTACTTTTCTTCTCCACATTTTTTCTTTTCCTGTTACAAATTGCTGTTTTTTCTCTTTCATGCTGTTTTTACTTCTCTTTCATTGTTTTTAACAATCTTTTCTCCCATTCCTACTAATCTTTTTTTCTATCTATCCAATACAACTTTACCTTCCAAGGTACCTTTTCCCCTTTGTCTTTTTCCTATTATAAATTTCGTTCCCTTTCTTCTCCATTTGTTTTCGTTTCCAATTTCAACTTATCGTTCATTCCAGTTTTCTGGTTTCTTATCTTTCTTTCTTTTCCCATATCTTATTTTTCTTGTTACCTTTTCCACTACAACTTTCCCCTTTTCAATTTCTTTTTCATGAGTATCATACTATGTCTTTCTTCCTTACGTCCTTTCCTCCTCTCTTCTCACTTTCTCCCTAGTTTATTTCTATATTTTGGCCTTCTTTCTTTTCAAATTACATCCTAGCAATATTTCACCCTCCTTCTCTCTCTCTCTCTCTCTCTCTCTCTCTCTCTCTCTCTCTCTCTCTCTCTCTTTCTTTCTTTCTTTCTTTCTTTCTTTCTCTCTCCTTAGTTCTTCCTCTGTTTATTTTTCTAAAAAAAGAAATCAAGAAAGAACGAAGAAAGAGAAAAAAGAAGAAAGCATTGGGATATATGAATAAATATATCTATGTATCTGAAACTTCCTTTGTCTCCTCTTTATAATTACATTATAATAAAAATAAATATTAATATATTATCTATTAGGGGGTTTAATGCATACAAAAGCTAAAGGATTTATTCATTGCTCGAATTTTGATTTTTTGGCATTTTTTAAAACTTTTTTTAAAGAAAGGATCATGGACATCGACCTGTTGAAACGTGCCCGTCAATGATAGATACCTCTCTAGACGTGAATCGCTGATAACTATGACACTGATACCTCGTTAACTTTCGATAATGTTCAAACAAACACATGTCCGATTAATTCTTTTGAGAAAGGGTGGCATCGGGAGGGGGGGATATTTTTATTTACGGTCAAAATTCTATTCGGCGAAGTCATCCGGCTGGAATAGAAACGATCTCAGGATGGCCGATAAGATCTCACCAAATCACTTTTTTATAGGTATTATGCAACGTTTATCCATTGAAAACGGAAGCAGTTAGCGAAATGGGATGTCGTTGAAGAAATATATCTATGTTGACTCGTCTCGTCGGTTTCTTTGATGTCAGCCCAGATAACCTACAAACATGAATTCTGTCCAGCAATGCTTTTATTCAAATATAAACATAAAAATTGGATGAGATTTATATTAACATTTTATGTAATCGTTAAGTAGGTTTAAGTACTTCGGCACACTGCTCATTCCTCTTATTACTGTGGAAAGTTTGGTGGATTAAAATTGGCCCAGACAATCTATACATTGTAGTATAAAAATATGGAAATGACAGAAGATTTGGGAAAAATTTTAGTGTCAAATGTTACTAGAGTCATAGTTACTCCTGGGAATTTAGGGTTGGTCGATGCGCCAACCATAGCGAAACGACTCGCACCCACGACTGATAAAACGTCTACTCTGGATCCGAAGTACGCTGAAGAAACGGCGCAAAAGGCCCTGGAATTATATACAAGCCAGGAGAGAGTTGTACTCGGTAGCGAGGGGACAGAGTTTAAGTTCAAGGTTTCTCACCGAGGGGGTGGAACTGGAAGTACGAGTGGAAGTGAGGTCGATTAGTTGGCAACACTGGGTCACCCAGTCACACAAAGCACACAGCATCTTACTCCAATTTTTTACTCTACCTTCCCTTCCGCCTCCGCAGTAAAGCCCTTTATAGGGATTAAGCCCCGCGAACCGGCCGAAGTCGAGTAATTATATTTCCATACACTGAGAAAGAAGTGGGTCTAAAGCTAAGCTGAAAGTCACAACATGCATAGCCCCATAACACTCCAACATCCAAACTTTGTCAGACTTTATTATGCAATAAATCTTGTATCTACAATAAATCCAACTTTCGGTTAAGATAATCATTATCTGATCGTTAGCTCGCTTCGCGATGGTTATCATGGCTTACCTCTTGACAGACACGTACATAGTATGCCAAACTTACAGATCAGAAAACGCTGGTTTAATAACTTAAAAAAAAATTATTTAACTTAATCTCAAGGAAGATCGTTCAAATACTCTGATAGAACGATGCCTAAAGGTGCTATAAAAATTATATATTAGTATTATGGGTCATAACTTTGACTAAGAAACACCCTGATGTGGTTTGTCTCAGAGTTGTTACGCTTATCAGTAATTTGATCATGCATCCTGGTCCACCTATTCTCGCTCTATTTACCTTTTCGTTCTGTAATTTTTAAATAGAAGGACAGAAGAAACAAGATGATCTGGAAGCAACAACAAAAGCAAGCATCCAACAAGTTGTAATAATTAAACACTTTTTTTAGGCTTTGTTTTGTATCATCGTGGCAACTGCAGATATGTGGTTGCAAGCCAGCCAATCTGTAAAACCGTTCTGGTCCGCCTGTTCTCGCCCTTTCTACTCATTCTTCTTCATTTCACCATTGAAATAGAAGCACAGATGAAACAAGGTGGTCCGCAAACCAGACAATCGACTTGTTATAATTAGGAAGAACGAAATGCAACTTTTTTGCTTCTCAGCGTATCATCGTAACAGCTGGGGAGGACAATCTGTCTGCATTTTGTTCATTCTGTTCCTCCTACCATTGCCCTGTTTACCCAACATCATCATTTATCATGTAAATCAGGGATGATCAAATATCGGCCTTGAAACAGATCTGCAGCAATTCAAAATGTGTATCCGCATGTTCTCGCAGGTTCAATTGTTCATTTAAAGACACCTGAAGATAAGCGGTGACATGAGATGTCTTGACCAAATTTGAAGTGTTAAGGCTCAGATGAGAAATGGTCTTTTCCCTATATGTATTATGAAAATTCCACCATGTAGGTAAACATACATCAGCGTTTCGTTTAAAGATCGTCCTGGTCCGCTTATTCTTGCTGTGTTTAATGCCCTGCGTTTCGCCAGTTTAAGAAAAAGGAATCGGTGTCATGAAATGTAGCAACAATTATTTTAAAGAGTCTGAACGTTTTGCTAATAAGATTTGTTATTAATGAACGAGTTGGCAGTTTAATTATCCCTTGGGTCCGCCTATTCTCTCCATGTTTAGCTATCAGTATGAGATACTGCACACTTACG